CCGCTGTGGAGCACAGGCTCCGGACGCACAGGCTCACCGGCCATAGCTCACGGGCCCAGCCGCTCCGCGGCATGTGGGATCTTCCCGGACCGGGGCACGAACCTGTGTCCCCTGCATCGGCAGGCGGGCTCTCAACCACTGTGCCACCAGGGAAGCCCTAGGGATTTATTATAATTTACTTATCCCTTATTAGTAAACATTTGGGTTGTTGGCTAGTGTTTTCCTGGTGGTCGTGTTATATCCAAAGCTACAGTAAGTGTTGTAGGATTGTATATATATATTTTCCTACTTGTGTTAGTATTTCTTCAAAATTGCTTCTTACATGTGGAATTGTTGAGTCTAAGAGGGTATATACATTATAGTTTTTTGACGGGTACTACCAAATTGTTCTCCAGAAAACTATTCAGTCAGTTTATGCTCATACAAGCAATGAATGAGAATGAATGCTTATTTCCTCACACCCTCCTCAATACTGGATTTTATCCATCTTTTCTGATAAATGAAAGTAGTATCTTGTTATCTTTTATTTCATTTGATTTAGTTTGAAATTGAATCTTTTTCTTTTTTTTCTTTTTTTTTGGTCATGCAGCTTGCAGGATCTTAGTTCCCCGACCAGGGATTGAACCCGGGCCCTTGGCAGTGAGAGCATGGAGTCCTAACCACTGGATCACCAGGGAATTTCCAAGATTGAAATTTTAATCATTTTTATATGGAGTTTTTTTTTTAATGTATTTTTGGCTGTGTTGGATCTTTGTTGCTGCACACAGGCTTTCTCTAGTTGCGGGGGGCAGGGGCTACTCTTTGTTGCGGAGCGTGGGCTTCAGAGCACAGGCTCAGTAGTTGTGGCACACGGGCTTAGTTGCTCTGTGGCATATGGGATCTTCCCTGACCAGGGCTCGAACCCATGGCCCCTGCATTGGCAGGTGGATTCTTAACCACTGCGCCACCAGGGACGCCCTATATGGAGATTTAAAAATACTGATTTTCTCTTCATTTAAACTTTACTTTCAAATAGATTTTGATAGCCAATTTCTTATGGCAAGTAATTCTTCTCAGATACTGAATGGAAATGAGAGATCAGCTTGGAGATAAAATTCCACCTGAATAATTCCCAGTGAGAAAAACTACTTTCTGTACTCTGAAGTTGACAATATTAGCGTTCGTTTGAATATATTCAATTCTTAAATAAAATGTAATGTTGTAAAGGTGGCTATGGTTCTTAACTTGATGAATGATTTATGTTAAACATGCTGATTATCCTATCGATTATCCTAATTTTAAAGATTTATTAAGAAGAAAAAAGTTTAAGTGCCTTTTATCAGGATGTACATATTTCCTATAGGATGTTCTTAGCACCTTAAATCTCTTTAGAGAAAGGGAAAAGAAATCTCCTTCTTTTGTTATCTTGTTTATAATAAAGTATATAGTTCTTGGTTTAAAGATTACTTAAATGGAAAATGGTCGTGAGTTCTCACTTCTGCCTATTCTGTATCCCCCACAATCAGAAATCATTTGCAGATTCATTTTATATGCTTTCTACTGTGATGTTCACTGAGATACAGAAATGAATAAAGGAGTCTGTGCATTCAATGAGGTTTTAATCTAGTATAGGAGACAGATTCCTAAACCAATAAATTAGAATACCATGAAATAAGTATAAAATATAAGTACAGGGCTTCCCTGATGGCACAGTGGTTGAGAGTCCGCCTGCCAATGCAGGGGACGTGGGTTCGTGCCCTGGTCCGGGAGGATCCCACATGCCGCGGAGCGGCTGGGCCCGTGAGACATGGCCGCTGGGCCTGTGCATCCGGAGCCTGTGCTCCGCAGCGGGGAGAGGCCACAACAGTGAGAGGCCCGTGTACCGCAAAAAAAAAAAAAAAGTATATTTATGGCACTGAAGGGGTGTAATTAACTATCTTGGGGAGAAGAATGTGGTAAGAGAATGTTTCAGTTAAAAAGTGAGCTCTGGGACTTCCCTGGCGAACCAGTGGTTAAGGCTCTGCGCTTCCATTGCAGGGGGCACAGGTTCGATCCCTGATCGGAGAATTCATGTCCCACATGCTGTGCAGCACAGCAAAAAAAAAAAAAAAGGGAGCTCTGAGTTATATTTTGAGGGGTAAATAGGAATTAGCCAGTAAAACAAATTGGGCAAAGCACATTCCAAGAAGGGAGGGCAGCATTTAGTAATTCAGTCATCAGTTTTTATCGAACACCTACTACATGCTGGTTATCACCTCAACAAGTTTACTATTGTTCTTCCCTCTTACTAGTTCTCTAGGGTTTTTTTGTTTGTTTTTGTTTAAGTTCTTTCCCATCTTTCTCTACTTAGATGTCAGACCCTCAGAAAGACCTTCTCTCTACTCCCACCCCATTTTCCAATGCATCTTCCTACTTTACAGTAATGTAGAATTTTCATTACCAGAAACTAATGTTTGTATAACCGTATATATATGTGTGTGTATAATATTTATATAAAATATTTGAAGTGATTTTTTTTTATTATGTTTCCCTTCTGTTTCATGAAGGCAGACTTTATTCATCTTGTTTATTGCTTTTTCTCCAGTGCCTAGAACAGTGCCTGGCATATACTTTATTGTCATGGCCTGTTCACATAATTCTTATATTTGTGTCTCATAACAACTCTTTGAGCAAGATATAGGGCATATAGTGTCTCTGTATTTTATATAGTTAAGCAGCTGAGACCCAGGACTCTTATTTGTCTAATTTCAGTCAGTGGATCTAGGCTTTGTAACCCTGGTGGCTTGACTCCTATTCTAGTACTTGTTTTACTTTCTCAAGCTGCTGAGATTTTTTTATTCAGAAACTCAGGAAAGGCCTTCTGACCTTTCTTATCTTTGCTACTCCTAGCAAAATCTTTGGTGTCTCATTTATGGGATACTTATATCTCATCTGAAACATAGAATAAACCAATTCTCCCAGGAAATTGGTTGGTTATCTATATCATCAGATAATTCTAACTGCCCTTTTTAAGAAGGTTTTTAAATGTATGCTTTTGCTTTTAATTTTTTTTTAAACAGCTTTACTCCATCTGTTTCCATGAAATGTGGGCTTAAAGCCCCAACTTTTAGTTTGAAATACTACTTGCAACTGTTCTTATAAACTGGCTGATTGATTAATGAACTAGCAAATTAAATTTCTAAACCGTATCAACTAAAGTCAGGTACACAAAATAAAGAATTTATCAAGTCCATTCCCGGTTGGCCATTTAGAATAATTTTAGTTCAGTAGCATTGTATTTTTAAATATATGAGTCAGTTGTAAAGTTTTATAGAATATATTTTAATATTTGATATTTGTTTGTTTTGTTTTTATAGGCAAGAAAACAGTATATTATTGGTGAAAGCCTACTGGAATGAACTTTTTACTCTTGGTCTTGCCCAGTGCTGGCAAGTGATGAATGTAGCAACTATATTAGCGACATTTGTCAATTGTCTTCACAGTAGCCTTCAACAAGGTAAAAAGCACCTTATTTCTTTTGCTAGGATATAAGGGGGGGCATCAATTTTATAGTATTATGTTTAAAGTTAGGTATTAAAAGATACCAACATCCTTTTTACATTAGATAATTTTTACATTTTGATAAATTCATTCATTAATCACCCCAAAATAGTTTTAAATGAGAGCACAACAAAACTGAAACAAGCGTATTTAAGTGCTATTTCTGATCAGGCCTCGTGAATTTTTTGTACTTGGATATACATTCCAAAAAATCCAGGGTAAGTTATATAGAGATGATCAAATATTTATAAATGTATACTTCCCACCAGTTTTTTGGGTTTTTTTGGGTTTTTTTTGGTGGGGGTGCTGTGTTGGGTCTTTGTTGCTGTGCGTGGGCTTTTCTCTAGTTGCGGTGAGCAGGGGCTACTCTTTGTTGCGGTGCACGCTCTTCTCATTGCGGTGGTTTCTCTTGTTGCGGAGCACGGGCTCTAGGCAGGCAGGCTCAGTAGTTGTGGCTTGTGGGCTCTAGAGCACAGGCTCAGTAGTTGTGGTGCACGGGCTCAGTTGCTCCGTGACATGTGGGATCTTCCCAGACCAGGGATCAAACCAGTGTCCCCTGGCAGATTATTTTTTTTATTTTTATTTTTTTTCTTGCGTTATGCGGGCCTCTCACTGTTGTGGCCTCTCCCATTTGCGGAGCACAGGCTCCGGACGCGCAGGCTCAGCGGCCATGGCTCACGGGCCCAGCCGCTCCGCGGCATGTGGGATCCTCCCGAAACGGGGCACGAACCCGCGTCTCCTGCATCGGCAGGCGGACTCTCAAGCACTGCGCCACCAGGGAAGCCCCCCTGGCAGATTCTTAACCACTGCACCACCAGGGAAGTCCCCCCACCAGTTTTTAAACTGCCTTTCTTCATTGTAGCTCTTTGAATCCCAAGATAGGCTAAACCTTTTTTTTTAATCAATTCATCAGGATGTATTCTCTCACTTAAACAGTACTAAAGAGTCACAGAACAATCCTAAGTCTTTTTCCTTTTCTTGATGTCAAGGTGATTACAACTCCCATTCATTTGAAGAGACAGGCAGGCAGGCACTGATTTATAAATGTTTAGTTTCAGAATGGCTTGTGACTAACCAAGAAGGTGCCCCATCCTCAAGTGGGAAGAACTACTTTTTTGAGTTCAGGAATAATTTATAAGTTGAGAATTACATTTACTTCCTTTGCATATTCCATTTCCCATTGTTTTACATTATTTTTAAAATATCTGCTTCCTCCTCTTATTTAAGGGCAGAGAAATAGCCTTAACATCTCATCAACAGTAGATCTACCAGAAGGCAGTACTATATAAACACAATATATTTTAAAAGTTACAAAATTTTATTTTACTCAGATTTTCTTTGATCTTGGAAGTATTTTTTGGTAACTATTTGTTTTTGTTGTAGTAGTATGGGTAACTTAAAAATCTAGATGATTTTGCTTATTTTTTTCAACCAATTTAAGCTTAAATAAAATCCTCTTACCAAAAGTTGAGTCTTTTGTACTTTGGTTGGTTGGCCAGTTTTTTAGTCTTTATAGCTTATCTTTTCAAAGGTATATCTTGAAAGGAAACATTACATTTAGGCTTTTTTATATTAACAGCCTGTTTTGTTTTTTCTTGAACAACGTCTGAAGATCATTAATTAGTTTCATTTAAACTTGCAGAGATACTGAATTTTAAACATTTAAGAAATTGGTTATATACAGAGCTGGAAATTAGAAAGAAATATATTGGATAAAAATAGTCAGGCATTTTTGCTGAAAATTAGAAGCTTTTGTTTGTTTCTTTGTTTTTAATTAAAGATAAAATGTCAACAGAAAGAAGAAAATTATTGATGGAACACATCTTCAAACTACAGGAGTTTTGTAACAGCATGGTAAAACTCTGCATTGATGGATATGAATATGCCTACCTGAAGGCAATAGTACTCTTCAGTCCAGGTATATAAACATTTACTTCTTATTTAAAATACAGTGTTTTAGGATATGGAGAAATTAGAACCCTCATACATTGCTTGGGACTATACATTGATGCAAAGTGGAAACAACGAGTGTCCATCAAACAAATGAATAAACAAAATATAATATATAGATACAATGGAATATCATTCAGGCATAAAAAGTAATGAAATTCTGATACATGCCACCATGGATGAACCTTGAAAACAGTATGCAAGTGAAAGAAGCCAATCACAAAAGACCACATATTATATGATTCCATTTATCTGAAGTGTCTAGAATAGGCAAATCTGTAGAGAGATTAGTGGCTACCAGGGACTAAGGAGAGGGGAGAGTGGAGAGTGACTGCTAATGGGTACAGTTTCTTTTGGGGTGAACAGAAATGTTCTAAAATTAGATTGCAGTGATGGTTGCACAGCTCTGTGAATATACTAAAAGAACTATTGAATTGTATACTTTAAATTGGTGAAATTTATGGATGTTAGACATCTGGGTATGAAAAGGAAAATTGAAGAAATCAGTGAAATGACATCATAGACTTTCAGTCCTATTTAACACTTGAATGTTTAGATATATTTTGCTGGGCATGATTAAAAGGCAAAAGGAGAGGTGAGGATTGCTTTGTTAATGGGTTAAATTTCCAAACATCTTATTAGAGTTTCCAGCAAATAGAAAAATGGATCTCTTATCTTTCTGCCAGTTTCTAGTTTTCATGTATAGTAAAATGACAGTAAAGCTAATAATCAATTTTAGAATACGAAAAATTGGCTGTTCTCTTAGGCTCTGTATTTTTTCATTTTGGTATGTATTTCTGTTACTGTGTATGATAATAAAATTATCTGAGGAAACCTGCTTCTTACTTTCAATGATATCAGTAAGATAATTAAAGCTTTTTTGTACTATTTCTCCTAATGTTCAGATAAGTTAATAACATGTATCACCATTTTTATCACAACCAATTTGCCATCTTCATTTTCCTTAAAATTGAAAGAACATAGATTCAACAATAGAATTATAATGTAATTTTGTTTTACTAAGTATTCTATTTCTATTTGCTGCTTTTTTAATTCTCTTTAGTCAGGGCAGCACTTTCCATATTTTAGGCATAAGTTTTATGAAATTCTTTTAACAATTCCATTTTAGTGAAATATTTATATAGGTTATTTCATGTTGGTATATTATTCTTCTGATAGAGATGATGTTCAGAGTTTCATAATTTTATAAGTATTTTTTTAACCTAACCATGGTGAAAGGAAGGTTTTCTTACTAAAAAAATATAGAATATAAACTTCATGAGGGGTGGGTGAAATGGGTGAAGGAGGATCAGGAGGTACAAACTTCCAGTTATAAAATAAATAAGTCACAGTGATGTAATTTACAGCTTGGTGACAATAGTCTATATTATAAACTTGAAAGTTGCTAGAAAGTAAATCTTAAAAGTTCTCGTCATAAGAAAAAAATGTTTTGCAACTTTGAATGTTAACAGATGGTAACTAGATTTATTGTGGTGATCATTTTGCAGTGTATACAAATGTCAAATCATTATCTTGTATACCTTAAACAGATACAGTGTATGTCAATTATACTTCAGGTAAAAGATATATTATTTTAATTTAAAAATTTTTAAAGAATATAATCTGCAGATATTTCATTGGTTAAAAATACTTTCAATACTGTATGCTAACACATATATATGGAATCTAAAAAAAAATGGTTCTGAAGAACCTACGGGCAGGACAGGAATAAAGGCGCAGACATAGAGAATGGACTTGAGGACATGGGGAGGGCAAAGGGTAAGCTGGGACAAAGTGAGAGAGTGGCATGGACTTATATACACTACCAAATGTAAAATAGATGGCTAGTGGGAAGCAGCTGCGTAGCACAGGGAGATCAGCTCGGTGCTTTGTGACCACCTAGAGGGGTGGGATAGGGAGGGTGAGAGGGAGACGCAGGAGGGAGGGGATATGAGGATATATGTGTATGTATAGCTGATTTACTTTGTTAAATAAAGCAGAAACTGACACACCATTGTAAAGCAATTATACTCCAATAAAGATGTTAAAAAAATACTTTTAAGCTAAGTCATTTTTTTGTTTCTGTTGAAAGCAAACTGATCAAAATCCCTTCCACCACTTTTGGAATAGAAAAACCTATTTTATTTGAACCCAATGGTCTCAGTTTTTATTAGATGTTAGAATACATATATGAGATAAAATAGTTATAAGGGTTTAAAGTACAATACCTGGTGTTTAGTGGTTGGGTTATTAAATATATTATTTGTGGAATGAAAGAGCCACACATATGATGGGGCTTTTTTTTTGACTGAATTATTTTTCCCACCCCCTTCCATCTCCACTTGGTGCCTTATTAAATGAGTATTCAGAACTAAAGTAACAATATATTCCTTAATGTTTCAGATCATCCAGGCCTAGAAAACATGCAACAGATTGAGAAATTTCAGGAAAAGGCTTATGTGGAATTCCAAGATTATATAACCAAAACATATCCAGATGACACCTACAGGTATCTAGAAGTTAAATACTGTTTAATTAAATTCATCTTAAAATTTTTTGTGAATCTTATTTCATTATTTTCCAATCCAAGTGTAATTAAATTTAGTCAGCTTTGACCTTTGAAATAGTTAATGCTATTAAAAGTGGTAGTGTGTTGTTGCAAGTACTTTGCATGTAATATTTTATGTAAGGAGATTTAGCACAGAGAGGTTAAGTAACTTGCTCAAAGTCACACAATAAAGAGCAGAGCCAGGTAGTCTGATTCTCACACCCAAACTCTTTCTTCAGTTGAAATAATGGATTTTATTAGTAAAAGGGATGAAAAATGGATGAATAATAAAGCACCATTAGACTATTTGATAATTAATTTTGAAATTTGGCTTATGATATTTCTAACAAGGTATTTACCATTGTCCTTTCAGAAAAAAATCACTTTTTAAATAAACTCAATTTTTGAGTAACTAAGCATTTGGCATCAGAGCCAGAGTACGTGGGTTTGACGCCTGACCCTGTCACTTACTAGCAGTATGGCTTTGGGCAAGTTATTTAAATTCTGTTTCAGTTTCTTTACCTGTAAAATGCAGATAATGGTACCCACCTTTTATAATTAGTATAAGGATTAAATCAGTTAATATATAGTCAAAGAGCTTAGAGCAGTGCCTTTTACAAAGTAAGGGCTATATAAATGTGTTTACTAGTATTATTAATTTAACATACTTCAAACTTCATAACTTACTATATTTTACATATAATAAATTTTTACATATGTTAAATAACATGTTTGTAAGTCAGGTCCATCATGAAAGTCAGCTGTAGTTTATCTAACCAGTTTTCCTATGCCGCGTCCTACCAATTCTGTGTATATAGCTCAGCTGGTGGGAACAGACAGGAAATGAGTAGTTTGAGCAGTGGAGTGCATGGCTACAGAAAGGTTACTTAATTCTGGGGCTGCTGGTTTCACTTGTTCTCAAGTGTTAGAGTCGAAGGCCTTAGAAAAGAGCAAGGATAAATTGTGCCACCAACTTTTCAGAAAGGTGGTTCTTTTGGTGTTGGTTTTGTTATGATTTATTTTTCAATTTTCTAAAGTTTCAGAAGTTGTCTTATACCTCATTATACAAATAAATACAGTATTTAAAATGTTCCTCCTTTTTGACATAACAGCTGCTTGCTCATCTCTGTTCGATTAGGTTCCAGGTTCTTGGACCTCTGGAACTCTTTCTTAGTTTCTTACATTCCTAGTTATTTTAAAATAATACATTATCTTTAGATAGCAGTTTTCAGCTTATAATGTACTTTCACACAAGACATTGTCCTGCCTTTAAGAACCTCACTGGCACAGAAACTGGCAAGGATCATTTTGTTGATTGTCACAACACTGTGAAAGAGACAGGGTGTGATGGCTTACACGCATTCACATAGCTAAGGGGTAATTGAATCAGGATTTGGATCTAATGGTTTTGATTCCATAATTTATGCTCTTCCCAGTAATAACAACTATTGCCTATTTTACTATTCCCAGTAATTTTTTGAAAAGCAAAACCAAGAAAACTAATCATTGAGCCTCATGTATCCTGATAACATAAAACATTGCTGTTCTTATAACCTCGAATGAGTTCCTAAGCTGTTAAATTTATAACTTGATCCACAGTTTAATAACTTAGTTCCATGGTCCGTAAAACCAACTGGAGGTAGCACAGCATAGCAGTTAAGAGCAAGGCTTTCCAATGAAGTCTGACAGACTGCATATATATCCAGGTGTTTGTCATACACTCTAAGGCTTGAGAATACTAAAGGTTTTATTTTATTTTTTAATTTTTTAAATTTTTTTGCGGTATGAGGGCCTCTCACTGTTGTGGCCTCTCCCGCTGTGGAGCACAGGCTCCGGACATGCAGGCTCAGTGGCCATGGCTCATGGGCCCAGCCACTCTGCGGCATGTGGTATCTTCCCGGACCGGGGCACGAACCCGTGTCCCCTGCATCGGCAGGTGATCTCTCAACCACTGTGCCACCAGGGAAGCCCTAAAGGTTTTATTTTAAGTTCTGAAAACTAGATCTTTATTAAATTAGGCCACAGACAGTATTCATGCAGAAATTACTTATATCTTTCTACTAAATCACTCTTTGATTTACAACTTTGTTCCCCCTTCCTTTTGTCTTTTGAGGTTGTCCAGACTACTACTCAGATTGCCAGCTTTGAGGTTGATGAACGCTACTATCACCGAAGAATTGTTTTTCAAAGGTCTCATTGGCAATGTACGAATTGACAGTGTCATCCCACATATTTTAAAAATGGAACCTGCAGATTATAACTCACAAATAATTGGTCACAGCATTTGAAAGCTGAGATCTCAGTTTAAACTGATTGTTCTTTCTTACTGGAACACAAGAAGACACCAAATTGAACTCATTGCTTCCAGGGCGTCTGGAAGTTTTTACTTTAAAGAGTAACCAAAAACCAAGATATTTTTATCTTCCTTAAGAAGAATTTTTGAAGTGACTGGGCAGGTAGCAGGAATTAGAATTTCCCTTCCTGTCTTATTTGAGTGAGTAAAAAATACTATGAATTTATTCTTGGCTGAGATGACACCTAGAGCCATCACCTCTTGATTAAGATATCTCCTTTTATTTTATAAAACAAATAAATAAGTCTCTCTTTTTTCCCCAGAATTGTGTTCTGTTCATGTTTAACTTCATTATGAACTACTACAAACACTTAATGGTCAGGAACCCCTAAGGAGGATTTTCTTGCATTTTACTCTTCTATATTATAATCTGTTTGTTTTAATTACCTGTCAAAAGAAGATTATTTTATGCTCAGTGGTATAATGATAACATTAGAACTATAGGAAATAATAAGTGAATATAGGTATTTTTTTGTCTTTTGTAAATATCATGGCACCATTAGCATATATCACTCTCATTGCTGGCAATGAGACATAGGCCATTTGTGATCCTTTTAGTGTTGTATATTACTAGCTATAAGCACTTTTTATTTATGTATGTAGCAGAAAATTGTTCTTGAGAATAAGAGGGTTCATGTTTTAATATTTTTGGTTTACTGTGTTATAAAAGTAGCAGAGACTGATTGAGCCCCAAATGTTTCAGTATTTCAAAATAGATATTAAAATTGTTGCTCTTCCATTCCACAGAAAGCATCTGTCATCTCTCCCTCTTTTCTGACCTGCATTTATAGTTTCCTGACCCTTCTTTTAGGTCAATTTCTTTTAGGTCATTAGAAATACCTACTTTGTGAAATAATGGATTTATTGTAGCCAATCTGTGTTTTCAAGATGAGTTAGACAATTATTTTAAAGCAATTGATAATTTTTTAAGACTTCAGTTTTTTAGTATATAAAGGAATATGCACTGATTTTTCACTGTAAAGCGGGGAAGGGCTGTTTTAACAATAGTATGAGCATCAGCCTGAAGCGCTGCCTTGTTACTACCACAGCAGCATTTTAGGCTCCTTGGATGTCTTCCACAGTAATGTTTTCCTTAGCAAAACCTAATACTGTTAAATATTTCTTTGCTATAATTTCATGATGAATTATTTTGCTGTGTCTATTTGTTGGGGTTTTTTTTAAATATGGAGATTTTATTGCACTCAGTACATTTTTTATAAAGATTTTTGCAATAGAAGAGAAGCAGAATTTGGGGGAAGGGTATGGATTTTACTAATAGTTACTTTATAGTACATAAGAAGTTTTAAAGTATCAATTTACAGTCTTTATCACCTTATTAAGGGAAACATTTTTCCCTATTTAAGACATGATTTTTGTCAACAGGTTTATTTATAATTATCAGCTGGGAAAACTACATTTAGTACAAAATACTTAGATGGAAAAATCAGTAGGTTTATATCTTTATAAAACCAGTGAAGTAAGCCAGGGATTCAAGAAAAAATTCTTTTAAATAATGTACTAATGGTTAATTAAGATACATGTTTCAGGTATTTTTCCTGATTATAGTTATATTTGGAAGTGTTTTTTAAAACTATATTAAAATGTGACCTGCATTACAAATTTCTGTTTTCTGCCAGTATATTTGATTTCAGAGTCCTGTTTCTTCAGTGTTTGGTCATCCTTTTGTTTGTTTGTTCCATTATTAAGAAATCTCTGGTAAGATTTATTACAGTACTTTCAGGAAGGGAGGAGTATGGAAAACATTTTTCATATCCCAGTATTTTAGGATGATTTACAATTCAGTTTGAAGACTTGCAAATATTGCAGTTTGACTATACCTTAAAAATCTTTCTCTCCTGAAATCTCAGTAAAGTGTAACCACAGAATGACAAATGAAACAGGAGAGAAGAAATCAAAGGATAAGAGAGTTGAATAAATTTTTGGAAAACAAAATGCAGGTAAAGAAAGACTGACTTAACAGAGCCAGAACCAAGGAAACTGAATGCCTGCAAAAGGTGGTACATTGAGAAGAAGCCAGTATACCATTGTCCAGAAACAACGTTCAGTGTCTGGAGGATCCAAGTGCTCATTTTCAGAGATGGTACTTGGGGCATAAAAAAAGGATTGGTTGCAAATCTGTTGACAGAATCATTGAACTATCTTTCTCTATGCTTACTTAAGTCAGGTGACCAGTTTCTTTCTTTTTTTTTTTTCCCCTTCTTTTTTTGGCCGCGGCATGCGGGGTCTTAGTTCTCCCTACCAGGGATCACATCCATGTCCCCTACAGTGGAAATGCAGAATCTTAACCGCTGGACCGCCAGAGAAGTCCCCAGGCGACCACTTTTTTTTTTTTTTTTTTTTTTGCTGTACGCGGGCCTCTCACTGTTGTGGCCTCTCCCGTTGCGGAGCACAGGCTCCAGACGCTCAGGCTCAGCGGCCATGGCTCACGGGCCCAGCTGCTCCGCGGCATGCGGGATCCTCCCGGACCGGGGCATGAACCCGTGTCCCCTGCATCGGCAGGCGGACTCTCAACCACTGCGCCACCAGGGAAGCCCCCCAGGTGACCACTTTTAATCCTTCAACCTTTTCAAGCAGGAGGCCAGAGGTTAATAACCTTGAGTAACTAAACCAGAAGATCATAGGATTTATAGGATACCAGGGATAACAGAAGGCTTGGATTAGATAGTGTTGAAAATACGGATTAAGTGAAAGTCTGCATTGAGTATGGGTGCCCTAAGCATGTTCCCAGAATGCTGGCCACTGGGTATAGGCTTCTCTGCCAGGATTCTTCCCTTTGGAGAAACTAATCGACCCCAGAGAAAAGTTCTCCAGACACTCGCTTTTGGTTGTGCCTTGATAAGAAGACTACTTGCCATTTTATCACTCTTCAGTGAATCCCAGTATTTCCAAGTCATATATGTCATGAGGTTTCCATTCAGCTTTCTAGTGCCTACTATTAAATATGAACATAGAACCAGGATCATCAGATATTTGAGGAAAATTTCTAATACGTAAGAGATCAGATATAATCTGATGGGTGGGGGCAGATACAATGCAGTGATCAGAAAAGTACCCCCAAATATAATTAATATTTTGAAAGGAAGTAGATGTATTCATTAAATGAAAACAGGATGCTTTGAAAAGGAAAAGGAAAATGTGCAGCAAATTTTCTGGAAATTTAAAATGATAGCCAAAGCAGTTCATTAGAAGGGTTGGAAGATAAAATTGTTGAGGAACGCACCCTGAAAGTACAGTTGACCTTTGAACAACACAGGTGTTAGCCATACAACCAGCTGCAAATCCTGTAGTACTATAGTATGTATTTATTGAAAAAAATCTGCGTGTAAGTGGACCCACACAGTTCAAACCCATGTTGTTCAAGGGTCGACTATATAACCAAAAGACAAAGAAATAGAAAATGAGAAAAGACAAAATTAGAGAATCAGAGCAGGATGGCTAACATTTTAATAGTAAGAATCTAAGAGAAAAGACTTTAAGTAAGGAAATTATTAAATAATACAAGAAAAGTTCCACAGAAGGACTTGTGCCTCTTAGGTTGAAAGATTGACCCATTAAATGAAAGAAGATCCATACCATTCTTGAAATCAGAACAGTATAATCAAAGAAGATAATGTATTGCTGCTTCTAGCAGTATTGTGGAATAGATAACTCTGAAGGCCTCTGATCTATTGCTGGGCTCACAAGAAGTGGCATGAGTTCTCAAAGAAGCTAAAGTTGTCACAGGTCACGAACCCTCCCTGGTCCTGGCAGAAGCAAATAAAAATCTCTGGAGAAAACATTCATAATTTAGATCAGAGTTTTGCACACTTTTCTGTAAAGGGCCAGAATGTCATTATTTTGACTTTGAGGACCTTACCATGTCTGAAGCAACTACTCTGCTGTTGTGCAAAAGCAGCTATATAGACTATACATAAATGAGTGAGCATGGCAGTGGTCCAATAAAACATTTACAAAATCAGATAGTGAACTGGACCTAGCCCTTGGGGTGTAGTTTGCTGAACTCTAATTTAGAACCTCAACTATAACAGATTAAGCTCAACCAAATATGAGCTCACAAAATTATCAAACTCACAAGAAAACAAGCCACTTGAGTGAGCCAGCAATAAGCAATGTATATGGACCCTGAATGGTAATGTTAGATATTGAAATTGTACATGATTATAACTGCACATGATACGTCTTAAGAAGAAAAAAATGGAATCAAAAAGTAAGCAAGAAACAGGAACGAAGATGACCAAACAGACTTTAAAGCAAGCAGAAGCAACATTTAGAAATGTAAAAAAACTTGGTGAAATCTTAAAAATCAATCCATGGTGAAAGACTGTGCCTTCAACACATACATTTGATTCAAACCCCTTCCTAAAACTACATTGAAGCACAGCCAAGGATTTTTTAAGGCATGATCTCATATACACAAACATACTGTGAGAGAAATGAGAGCCACAAAATTTTGAAAGCTGGAAAAAATATTAGTTGTGATCAACTCAGCAGACTTAGCTTCAGTGGGTAAATCTGAGAAGCAACCTGATTTGCACCCAGTTTGGCAATACCAAGTGTAGAGTGTATGGAGCAACGCTTGTACATTGATGGTGGCAGTGTTGGTTGATAACAATCATCTCCAGTCATTTTACATTATATAGTAAAGTTTAACATGCATGTATCTGTTATTTGCCCTAGAGAAACTCTTACGTGTGTATCATGAGGCATACAGAAATGTTCATGTTCGCATTGTAAGAGCAAGAAAACAGCCTGTACTACTTCCAGAGGAGAAGGAGCAGGATGCAAACAGGGTAGGACATACAAGGGGCTACCAGAGTGTATGTGGTGCTCCAGTTCTCTATTGCTTTGTAACAAACCACCCCAAAAAGTGGTGGTTTAAAACAACAAAATGTATTGTGCTCTAATCTGCGAGGTAAGAGCTTGGCAGGGACAGCTTATCTGATCCATGCAGCCACAGCTGGGTCAGCTCAATGGGCAGGGGTTGGAATCTTTGGAATCACTCACACATGTGTCTGGAAGACACGTAGTGGCTATCTGCTGGGACTTCAGGTGAGGCTAAAACCAGAAGGCTTACATATTGGCTCTGATTTCTGCATCAAAGATGTCACAAAACTCTGTGCAGAAGTGGCAAACTCCTAGAAGAGTATGTGGAACCAGAAGTGTTGTAGCCATTTTTAGAAAAGGATGTATCTCGGCAGCCTCACTAGAAGCCCAGTATAGACAAAGGCTTATCTTGACAA